GTCTCATCCCCTGGATGTGTACTATGCTGCGAGCATTAGTGTCATTTCTGGAGATGACTCTATAACATTTGGGAGATAGAATCCTTAGCGGCTGCTCCTGATTAGAACGATCGAGGAAAAGCTTTGTAATGTACCCTGCTCACATTGGACGTGTTTTGAGAGTAATTAACCCAGACATATGGGCAACACGACTCATGGTGAAAGTGTACAACCTCTGCAGAGTATAAAACTGGTATATCAGCCGTGCTCACACACACGAGTGGCCTGGATCCTTACAGAATAGTTGGTTACTCGGATGGCTTGTGTTATGATTAAAATTGCTGATATCTCTAATTATTCATATTCGGGAGCCTAAGCATAACTTAGCAACTTATGATTAATAATAAAATATGACCCACTAAAAGTGCTTACCGCAGTTCAGCCGTGTTAAGCTTTTTGAGCCTACATCTTCTCATATTATGCTTGCTAAGTGGTAGTAGCTTACACTTGTTTTATTTTAATACTTTGACAAAATCCCGGATGGGTACCAGATGAAGGTTTTTCAGTGGAGTTTTCCAAGAGGTGTTAGGCTTGTGATCAACCAGTTGACGATTCCTGTGGTGTTGGAGGCTTCGCCAGAAAAATAAAGTTATAGTATACACTGTAATGTAAGACTGTCTTTTGTATCAAATATTTATATACTATATAATAAAGACATTGTCTTTGATATTACCCCTTCATTTGTAACTATATGTGTGAATTGAATTACTGGGCACACATGTGGTGTGTATCTGGTTTTGTCGTTAAAACCAGGTGCTACAATATATATCTTATTATTTCCTTTGGAAAAGCAACAACAATGCATTTTTTCTTAGAACTGAGTAGTTCCATAATTCCTCCTTTTTAATCTATATGTATACATAATACCAAAGATGCAGAATTTCTACCATCAAATCAAATTTTCGTCCAACCAATAAAAAATATGTTGTCTGCTTCTTTTTTTCGTTTCCGTCTCCTTTTCTTCTTCCGTTTCTTTTCTCCCGTTCGGACTTAGGAGGTGTTCCGTATGTACCGTGTCAAGTCAAGTGCTGCCCACTCTTCGATCCTGGCGTCCTGTGCCTCCCTTTTTGTGATTTGTTTTTCTTTTTTTCTTTTCAGATACGCAACTCTATTTTTTCTATCATTAAAATAATAAACAGAGTATCACGGGTCTTAAAAATTTGACGGTTACCCAATAAATAAATATTTCTATCACTAAGTTTTGATGTAATTTTGATTACAAATAAATTATTTTATAACATGAATCAGCCAATGGCCTAACTAATCAAACTGTAAACTAAAATCTTTAGCCGTTTGCTATCATCCAATCTAAGCAAATTAAATATTTTTCAAGTTATCTGTATATACCAGTGTAAATCTCAAAGTTGTTCAGTATATAATGGTGCAACTCTCGACATACAAGGGCTAACATGTGGAATCGAGAGAGGTCTTGGTCATACTTCATACTTAACAACAAAGAGACCAATTCTTTAACTTGATGACGACTAACCCTTGCTGATTTTAATAAGATATTAAATTACATATTTTTATGAATCCTCAGAAGAAGTCATAAAAATTGATATCAACTTTATCAACATATGAATATTATGAAAACTAAAGTTATGATATATTTACGAGTAAATATTTTTATGCCTTAAAATGAAATAAAAATATATTTTAATTCAATATATAATTAATAAGACATTTTCATATTATTGCTAATATTTACTTATATTATGGATGAATGATCATTAAATAAAGTACAACTTTTAAATTTCATAGAAAGGTTAAAAAGTAAATAGATATAGAACATTATTGTCCTTGTTCCACTAAAAAGCCCTTTCGTTTGTGATTGGTGCAGCAATCACTCACAACATCAAAAGTAGCACCTATAAGAATTAAGCGGTTGCAGCCGCTGCAGCTGTGCAGCAAGCTAAAGTGAACAAGTCAAACATTTGATAGTTTTTTCGTCTCCCGTTGCAACGTATGGGCAAGTTAGCCAGTAAAGATTGTATTTAAATATCTCCAGTGAACTTGGCGTCATAAGTATATTTTCCTATTTTTTTCTAGACATTTATTTTAACCATCCTCTACTCCTCCCCATCTTCCCTTGTCTTATTGCAAAGCACGAATTTGTTTGCTAACATAAGTAATTTTTTTTTAAAACTTCTCCGTGCATAATTTGAGTTCTCGTTCTAGGATCCAGCATTACAAAACTATTACATGGAGCTATTGAGGCTTGCTTACCTTCAAGCAATTTCATGTAATATGTACAAGATGTTGAACCAAATAAAACTAATTTTATGTAACAAACCAGGCATACATTTCAGATTTTAATTTATTAGACACACTTTCTTTAGAATATAATTTTTTTGAGAACTAGATAAGATATTGGAACAAACAAAGTATACATTTTTTTTTCAGAAATTCATTCAAAGCGAGTACTGATGTACACTTATATGGACAGGCAGGCTGGTCAAAACCTGTTCCCAACAATGAATCGGATAACAAGTTTAAGAGAAACAAGATGCTTCAACAAAACACAGAAACCCTAAAGGCCAGCATATAGGAGTACCATCCATTTTTTCATGTATTTTTAGAAGCACCCATAGTTGGCCCCCCATCGATGGCTGCTGATCTTAATACTGCATAAATACACAAATTTTCTAAATATGAATACATTGGTTGTCAAACCAATAATCTGCACTCGAGGAACTAGTAAAACCAAACACACAGACCAACAAATTGCTTTAGATAAAAAAAGCAGGCAAATATATACTGACTTATTGTATGCATCTCCCATCACTTAACAACCAGGCAACCACACTTTTTTATTGGAAGAAGACTGAATCATAATTCAGAAAAACATCTCTGTTTACTTAGCATAATATATCATCCTAAATTCTTATATTGTTATTATACCGAAATTGACAGACCATAGAGATTAGCAATGTTCATGTAGGTGGTGGCAATTTGTCTCCCAGCTCATCCTTCATAACAGGTCCTAATAGGTGAACAGGTTTCTTGATAGATCTAACCAATTTTACGAATCGAATGATCCATAACAAAAAGAAAATTTAGCACAACTTTATGTTATATTGCGATAATTTACTCTAAAAAAATGACTATTCTTGTACAAATATATCATTCTCCATATCCATGCAAGCTACTAATAAGTAAAATACTGGCAAACCTATAGAAATTAAAACAGTACAGAATTCAAGATGGTCTGGGACACGCGAGGAAATTACCTGGAGTGCAGAAACTAATGTAGGGAATAATATTTACAATGTGGCCATCAGCATCAGATACCTTCTTTACTTGACCAGACTTGAGATCAATAGCCAAGACGCCATCATCACGACCAGCCCTAATGACAAAAACACCGGCAACATCTGCGGCAGCAACGATGTAAGGTGAGGATGAGAGGGCAGAAACAGGGAGAAAACTCTTGAGGTCAACAACTCTATGCCGCGTCCATGTCCATCCACCACTTGGAGTCGGAGCAGACTCCCTCAACCATATGCAAAGAGAGAAATCATCATGCACCATGGCGAATCCCAACCCATCATCCTCCACTGACATGAGCACAAGAACGGTAGACACTTTGCATATCGGCTGTAGCCCGATAACCAATAGTTCTTTCTTGGCCAAATCGTACTCCAGGATTCCATTGTCCCACCTTAGGCGGAAGTAGAGCGCATTCCCAACAAGGGCTCTGTAAGTGCAATGTAGCTCAACATACCTAGGATCCTCAATAGAGGCTGGCTGGCTCCACTCATCGGCCTCTGACGAGTAGACGTAAGCATGAGAACCTGCTGAATATATTTCTGCCCACCAAAACCACTGTGAAGGGGGCCATCTGATGGGCACTCCATGTGGTTGCAGCCCGGCGTTCCGCAGAGCAACGCGGCGTTCCAATAGGCATAGAGAGAGCAAGGGAGCCACAGCTTGGGCAGCTTGTGCACCACACCGGTGGCCGGAGTCCAAACGTTGAGCTCGTTCCTTGCAGGGTTACTCCGGGCGGGTTTGTAGTAGAACAGGATGCGGCCATGCCAGGCGTTCAGGGGAGACCGGGTGCGGCAGCCGGCATCATACGGGTAGAAGGAAGAGGTGGGCAAGAAGCGGGTGGTGGTGGCAGGTGAACGGCGGCGGACGATGAGCCCGAGCATGGGGGGCGCGCGGTGGAACTGGCGGAATCGGCGCTGGAAGCCGGGATCCGTGACGAGACGACACAAGCGCTTGCAGACCAGGGCGGCAAGGACGAGCTACGCCGAATTGTCCGATGGAAGGGGGAGCAGGATCTCTTGCACGAGCTCATCCATCAGTGCCGGCGGCTGGCTTTGTGCCGGTGGCGCGGCCATGGTGCTCGACGCTGGCAGCGGATCAGATCGGTGCAAAGGCGAGGGTTTGGTCAGCAGGGTTCCGTCGGTGCTAATGTGCTATTTTATAGAAAGGGACGAGATGATGGGAATATGAGTCTGACAGATCTCAGTGAACGCGACCGGATCCAAGGTTTATGCCGAAATTCAAATCCCGAAAGGCTTTATTGGCAATGCGATTGGAATACGAGTCTGACCGACAAAGTTCACTGAATTCTATATCGAATCGAATTCGAAAACACTCAAAAATATATTCGAAAACTCTTGACACACGATGCATCCATCATACATGTTTTCATTTACACAAGGTTTTAAATCTCGGGCTATAGCCTCCGCTATCTCCGGCTATAGCTGTTTGAGAAGGATTTAGCTAAGATTTTCTATATACAAGTTAGCCCTTAGTTGCTGCTATAGCCCGTTTTAGGACATAGATAGTTAAATGGCTTAGCCAGCTATTTAAATCATTGTTTACATACAAAAGAAAACATAAATTTATTCGAAAATATAAACGTACTTGAACTTGAACTGAGATGACATGGCTCGATCGGCAATATATGTTTCACGAGCTAACCAACACAATTTGCTGATTACAGTGCTTGATTACTCTCCGAACGCAAAGGCAGTGGCATCAAAGGTGTCCGAGAGGCCGGTGCCGGTCTTGAAGGTCACCTTCTCCGGGGTGGCCTCGGGAACATACACCTCGACGACGCTGAGCCAGAGCATCAGCTCCTTGGTCTTCACGCCGGTGATCTTCCTCAGCTTGCCCTTCTCGGCGATCGCCGTCACCTCGGAGGCATATGACACCGTCTGCTTGATCTTCTTGAAGGTGTGCTCTACCTTCTTCTTCCCCTGCACCAGCCACAAGAACCCCGTGTCACGGTCGTACCCAAACTCCTGGATGTCCTCCATTGGAAGCAGGCCCTTGGGGAGGCCGAGCTCCTCCAGCAGCTCAACGGACTTCTTCCTGCACGCGGCGTCCCCGGTGACAACCTCTGCAGTGGCGCGGTGGCTCTTAATGGCTTGGGACGCCATGGTTTACAAATGGAGCTGTGAGTAGCGCCAAGAAAAGAGACTGTAGCTGGTTGCTCTTGAGAGTGATGATGTGTTTGTGTGATGGGAGATGGAGCAACAGCACATATATAGGCAGACAGCCTACAGACCGATGAGAAGCACTGCAAGACAACGTACATGCAGTCTTGTTTGACTTGGTTGGCAAAGCACGTTGAACTTAGACGAGGACCATTGTGGTGTGCTTTCAGGTCCGGCGTGCTGAAGTACGAACTTGACCGTTTCTCTACGTATCTCTAGCTACTTGTAAATTAGCTTAAACTCTACACGAGTAGCTAAGTTGGCACCTCATTTTTTTACACCGTACGATTTCTCTCAATAAATTGTTAGTATTTTTTTCACCATTATAATTTTTTATTTAAATTTAGCCTTGTCTCAGTTTAACTGAAAACAGGGTCCACTACTCTAAATTCCCAATCAATGTACCGGTTCACTATAATGTATTTAAATTTCTCCTTTTATAATGACTATTTAAATATCGCCCATTAACTTAGTGGCATAAGTAAATTTTGCTAATTTTTTTCGATACTTATTTTAGCCGTCCTCTGAGTCTATAAGAAAATCGGAAATCAACTAAAACATACTAAAATTAATACTTACGAGTATTTTTTTGTGAGTAAATACTTAAAGTATTTAACAATACAAAATAATATGTCTATATAGCAATAGGGCATGTTGCGAGCTTAGAGCATCTCCAAGAGTTTCTAAAACACTATCCCAATCTAGTACTTTTAGCAAGATTGAAAAAAAACCATCCCCAATAACTCTCAACCCCACCTTCAAATCCTTTGGCACTTGGGAAACCCAGCCCCCAGCGCGGAAAAATACACACAGTGCCGCGTCCGCGTATCCTCCTCGTGCGAGGTTTCCTGGGCGATCTCTTCCATATACCAGACTACGTCTTGGAAGCTGATCTTCGCTGACGCATCCAGCCAGCCACAGCTGGCTGCTGGCCGTCCTGGGTTGGCCATGCCTAGCTGTGGTTGGCCGAGGCTGTCATGCCCTGGCCGACTGCTGGCTGCGTGTGGCCAGCCGTGGCTGGCTGCTGGGCGGGTGTGGCCTAGCCAGGGGCGGGCTGTGGCTTGCCCAAGGCCGGCTGTTGGCTGATGGATGGCCATGGCCTAGCCAGGGTCGATTGTGGTCTAGGAAGAATTTTCCAGTGGGGAGACTAGCTTCGGCAGCCAACGTCATAAGGGCGAAAGTGGAATAAGGAGGTAGGCAAGAAGCGGGTGGCAGTGGAAGGTGGATGGCTGTAGATGATGAACCCGAGCATGAGGGCGTGTAGTGGAACTGGTAAAATCGGAGCCGTTGTAAGGAAAATGGACCATAGGCCCATTTACTTTGGATTTTGGTGTTTGATGACCAACACAATTAAATTGGACTAATAAATTTATAAGTAATTGTTTTGTAGTTTAATAGAGTGCAAGACGTGACTTAGATGAAGGCGACATGATGATCCCATGATCAACACCATAAGCAAGACCCTAGAAGCACAAGAGAAGACCCAAGATATCAAGCATGGTCCAAGCACGAAGATGGAAACCAAGCCGGAAGCAAGATCGCGAAGAAACGAGCTCGGCAGAGGTGACCGAACGCGGCCCTAGAAGGACCGGACGCGTCCGATCAGTTGCTCGGCAACAACAGGCGTCAGCAGCTGTGACCGGACGCTGAGGATTCAAGTGACTGGACGCGATGATGATACATACTATTCACTATCGTGACAATAACTCAGTACTGACCGGACGCAGCAGCACTAGACGACCGGACGCATAAAGTATAGCGTCCGATCGAGTCCAAAAAGGTTCTAGAGCGGCGCCAGTACGACCGGACGCGTCCGATCGAGTGAGACCGGACTCGGTCCAGAGTCTGAACAATGCGCGCGCTCTAACGGTCAGAACGACCGGACGCGTCCGGTTAGGATGACATCAGCGTCCGGTCAGTAGCAGAAAGCTGGGTTTCGCCCCTAACGGCTACTTTCTCTACGGGCTTATAAATACACCCCAACCGGCCATTTGAGAAGTGGAGAAGTGAGGAAACATATCAAGGGTGTTGATACACCATTGTAGTGATCTCCACTTGCATAGTGCTTAGTGATTCATTAGGTGATTAGCGTATGTGCTTTGCGAAGTTCTTAGGTTGATTAGAACATCGCTTATGCGCTTGCTCTAGGTTTAGGCCTAGTGTTTAGTGAGATTTGCATACCTCTTATCACTGGGCGCTTGCATGCACCATTGTTGTACATCAGAGGGGCTTGTAGTCTTACGAGATCACACCAACCGTGTTTGTGGTGTGGCCGCCATCGTGTACCGGAGGGAACAGGGCCCGCGACGTTTTGGCCGGAAGCTTGATAGTGAAGACGGCGGGGAGCGGTTCGTGAGAGGCTTACCGGAAGGCACACCGGAGACCCACTTGCGCGTGGGGAAGGCCCGGGGCTATCCACGGAGTTACCCGACCGGGAGCTTGGCCCTTGCAAGGGATTCCTTGCGAGGGGCTCCAACGAGGACTAGGGGGAAGCTTACGCGCTCCTCGATACCTCGATAAAAATATCAGAGTCATCGACGAGAGTTTGCATATCTCTACCTTACTCTTTGGCTTCCATATTTACATTGTTTGCATAACTCCTTTTTGTGGTAGAGATAGCAACACACTAGCAAAACCATAGTTGCACATTTAAATAGTTTATCTTTTGCACATTTAGATAGTTTATCTTTTGCATATGTTTTGCTAAGGTTAGAAAAAGAGGCCATAGTTTAGAGTTAGAGTTTTAAGTTGCCTAATTCACCCCCTCTTAGGCGTCACAGTCCCTTTCAATTGGTATCAGATCCGGTTGGCTCAATTTGGACCTTTGGCTTAACCGTCGTTGAGCCGACGCTATTTAGAGTGGTTGGGATGGATACCTCTATTCTTCCGCACTTTGACGGCACTAACTTCCCCTACTATAAAGCTAAAATAGCTTGTCACCTTGAGGCGGTAGATTTGGGTGTTTGGAGAGTCACTCGTGATGGGATGAAACCCATTAAGAGTCCCGATAAACCCACAAAGAGTGAAGAAAAAGAAATTCATTTCAATGCTAGAGCTAAAAATTGCTTGTTTGAATCTTTCAGCATGGATGTGTTTAACCAAGTGTTCACTTTAAATAAGGCACATTAAATTTGGTTAAAACTCCAAGAGCTCCATGATGGCACAACTAATGTCCGTGAGCAAAAACATTGTCTAGCTAAACAAAATAATGATTCCTTTAAAATGAATGATGATGAGCTTGTTCGTTATATGTATTGTCGTTTGAATCTAATTATCAATGAGCTCCACTCAATAGGATTAACAAAGCTAGATGATGCGGACATCATGAGGAAGATCATCTTCGTGTTACCACAAAAGAAATATGCAAGCATCATCACCATCCTTCACAACATGGAGGACTTGAGCACCATGACCCCGGCTATAGTCATTGGCAAGATAGTGGCATTTGAAATGTCACACAAGATGGGTCAAGAAGAAGCCTCTTCATCAAGCAAAGGCAAAGCTCTCACATGTAGTGAGAAAAAGAAGATGAAGGGCAAGCAAGTTAAGACAAGCTCAAGCTCAAGCTCCTCAAGTGAAGATGAAGAAGAAGATGAGGATGAAGATGATGAAGAATCAAGTGATGATGATCAATCTTCCTCCTCCACCTCTGACCTTGATGAAGAATTTATCAAGCTTATCAACAAGGTAGAGAAGATGATCTAAAAACTCAATGTCAAGGGTGTGCCCATCTAAATTCAAGATTTCATCTTCACCAATCAAAGAAATGAGCAAAGAAAGAAAGGATGCTATAGATGTGCTGAGTTGGGGCACTTTATGGAAGTTTGTCCAAACAAGCCCACACCCAAGACAAAGAAGAAGGCGTGCAAGGACAAAGCCCTCACATCAATAAGGTCATGGGACAATTTTTCAAGTGAAAAAGAAGACCACCACAAGAGGCGAGGGCACAAGCACTGATCATCAAAGCACCTCATGTGTGTGCCTTATGGCACGAGGTAACAAAAAGCCTATCCCTAGTGATAGTGACAATGACAATGATAGTGATGATGAGCTACCTTCTTATGATGAAATTGTGCAACAAAATCTTAACTTCGCTAAAGTTTGCACTAGTCAACAAAAGAAGCTTGAAAAATTAAAAGAAAAGCTAGATAGTTCAAAAGAAGCATATAAAACCTTGCTTGAACAATATGAGACATTTGCTAATCTCAATATTAAACTATCTACTAAAATTGGGCAACTTGAGGCTAGTGCAACAACAAATGCATGCACAATCAATGATGAGCAACTTGTAAAGAAAAATAAAAAATTAAAAGAAAAGTTAGCTAGCTCACAAGATGCTTATAAAAGTTTGCTTGCTAAAATGGAAACCGTATGCAAACATTGTGATGAGCTAACTAATAAAGTTGCTAATCTTGAAGCCATCGGTACAACCCTCACCGAGGCACCTAAAAAGAAAGGTTCAATTTTTGACATGCCTAAAAAGGATGCCTCTACTTCTTGTAATAATTTATGTTTAGACTCACCCTTGTGCAACCAAGTTTGTGTTGAGAAAGTTGTTGTAGAAACATGCACACAAGTGGTTGAAATAGAGAATGAGCAACTCAAGCAAGAAGTGGCTCGCCTCACCAAGGACTTGACTCAAGTGATAGGAAAGACGGAGCAAGCCCAACTTCATCAAGATAACACTGTTAAGGGAGTGAAGAAGCTTGATGAAGGACAAACCATGGTTTGCTATGTATGTCACAAGGAAGGCCACAAGTCCAATGCGTGCAAGGTGAAGAATGGGGGAGGAGCTAAGAAGAAAGAGAAAAACAAAAAGGAAACAAGCAAGCTCTCCAACACCTACACCAACAAATTGGACAAAAAGGCCTCCATACCCTATCTCTTGAAGAAGAAGAAAAATGACAAGGTGGTGGCCATCAAGGTGAATAAGCAAGCCAACA